TATATATATATATATATATATATATATATATATATATATATATATATATATATATATATAATAGTGTTATAAGATAAAATTTGGCCAGTAATGTAACGCTCGATTATGTTTCATGAAAAAAATTGACATAACCTCAATTTTAATTCACTATTCAATTTTCGAATTCTAACGATGTAATAGCTGGTTTAAGCATTTTAGAACAGACCGCGAACAAACGTTGTCCACTCTATTTGCTATGTAATGGTTGGACAATGGCTAAACCACAAATTTGATTCTATGTTACAATGAATAATCAGTCAGTAACGAATTAGTGATAAGCTAGACAACTTCATCTAGCCTGTACAAGCTAGCTATTAGTTTTTTTTTCAGGCTAGTTACGTTTCTACTCTAGTAGAACCGGCACTCGTGGCACTCGTCAATTTTCGGCTCTCTTGCTGGGATTTCATCAAGTATGATTTGATCAAGATATACGGGTTTTATTAATTAATTATTAAATATATCCGTCAATTATTATTTATTATTTGTTTGCTTTTAACACGGGACGTTGTCCCCCTTATTCTCTTCAAGTAAATCAATAAAAATCTTTCCAACTGAATCAGTAGAAGGAGTGTTTCGCTCTAATGATCAATAAATATAATTAATAATTTTCGGTGGAAACACTCCAATTTTACTATTCTATTTTATTCTCACTAATTTGACTAATAAAGGAGAGATTTCGCTGCAAAATATGTAGTATATAAATTCTTTATATACCGTACCAATCATACCCAAGAGCCATTCTGCTTTTGTAGCGATGGGATTAACGGCTTTCGCGCGGCTTACGTGCAACGACACTGTCTGCATAGCAAACTGCACTTGCATTTGCAAACTGCATTAATAATAGAAACATTTGCTGTTATCCATTTACATTAGCGCGACACATTTAGCGCGATTTTATTGATTGCAATGCTATGCTTATAATTAAATCACCAGTTGTAAGTATAGCATTTCAGTGGAGAATAAATGGATTGCACTTTAGAGGATATTTCCGCGAGACGGTTCTCGGATTTTACCTCGACCTAACCGCCGAGGAAAATATCGGTCATCCGAAATACGGAAACGGGAAGGCTAAGCGCAAATCGGATAAATGGATTTTCATGTTTCGTTCCAGAGGGGAACGAAAGTGGGAAGGGCGCGTGCCGAAGAGGCACGGCCGTCGGCATAAATTATTCGAGAGCGTTCGCCACCTCGCAGAAATGTGTTCGAATAATCGAATAATCACCGAAATAATTTCATCGACGTCTCTTGTTAAAATCTATGTGTGCGCCCGCATGTGTGTGTGTGTGTGTGTAACTGCATTCGCGACCACATTCACCGCATTCACAAAACGGAAACCGTTTCAGCCGCAACGCGTCGCACATGTCAATGAAACTGCCAAAAAGTTCGCATGTGTTTCGGACGAGTGAACGAGCGAGCGCTGTCCGGCTTGTCCATTGTGACCTTTTTATTTTCGACGGTGCTAATCCAACCTATATGGTGCTCGCTAACAGGCGCGTTCGATGGACAAAGCGATATCCATCGAAGACCTCCACGAATTTTTCTCGCTTAGAATGTTTAATCGGTCACGGTTAAAGTGTCACTTGTTATTATTGAGGGCGAGATTGAGATAGATAGAGTTACTAGTACTCACCGAATAAACATTTTTTTATTTCTTAGATATTTTTCTCTCGGGGTTACATCTATCTTGCTAAAAAACACGGTAAACTTCGTTAGAACAAATTTTTTAATACATTTCAGTCTTTGGAGTATAAGTAATTATATGAAATAAAAAGAGAGTCAATTTCAGAATGTCAATTAATTCCCTGCGCAATTCCGCGTAATAATTTTTACTATAAAATTCTCTCTGCGTTTAAATTGAAAAACGCTCACTGTAGCATACGCCATTGTCCCTATATTTTTAGTAGCTACAGTTGATATAATGTACGTTTGAATTTATTCACTAAAATGTATTAAACAGGCAAATTGAGTATTTCGCAGAATGTGTCATATATGAGTGACGGTGATGGCAAACATGTGTCAGATAATGATGAATTACTCATATATACCGAACGCGGTTTCGTTCGCGATCATAACCCAGTTCGGCGGCTTTACGACCGCACAAAGTCGGTCAAAATGGACCAAGATAAAAAAGCAAATGATTCGTTAATCGCATTGCTCCAAATTTCCTAGCGTTTACGTACCGTC